TTTTAATAAATGACAAATTAAAAAGGCATGAACATTTTTTGTATCGAAAAAATATCGAACCGTGACACCAAAGTATCGAACCGAACCGTGAATTTTGTGTATCGTTGCACCCCTAGTAAACAGAGTATTTGTTCTTCATCTCGGTTTGGTTCTTGTACCAAACAGCAAAACAAAAACTGCACAGCAGATCCAGACAGGAGCTGTGTGGTCAGCTGAGCAGTGTTGGCTAACACCAGCCGGGGTCACGTGGGCAGCAACAGAGCTACAGGTGTAGCAGGGTATAGGTGTTCTTAGTGAGGGGAAGAGCATAGGGACTGAGTGATGATGGTGATGACAGAGCCTCACATATATGATCACAGGTCATCTGCAGTAAAGCCATGAGTACACATGTCTTCAGCCAGGATCCACGGGGCGTGATGCTCCTGTGTGTGCTGAGTGGATAGTCACATGACTGTCGTGGGTCTGAATAGTTTTGGTGTTTGATGCAGGACTACAGCTGATGACTGGCAGAGATCTCAGTGGAAGAAAGGAGCAACCTTAAGCTTACAAATTCTTATTCGTGCTTCCTCTGCTGTCACTGCTTCCCTTTGCAGGCAGGGGCTGGGATGAGGATAGCGTGGTCAGCTCACCAGACGGAGGCTCAGCCAGTGACTCAGGGGACCGCTACCGAGCCGACCGCTATCGCTGCAGTCCACAGGAGCCCAGCAAGATCGAGACGTTGATCCGAGCCACGCAGCAGATGATCAAGGAAGAAGAAAGTTGCCTGCAGTTACGCAAAGGCCCCGCACCCGAGGCCTCACTGGGGCCAGCAAACGGACTGCCCAAGGGCCCTGGGTCGTGCTTTACGCCCGAGTATACTCAAGGGCCTCTGCCTTTACAGACCATGTTGTGTCGAGGTTTAAGTCAGGTGATCAGCCCCACGCCTAGCCCCGCCCCTCAGTCTAAGCTCAACAGTCCAGGTTCAGAGTGTCTCCATAAGCCCAAAGACTACCTCCAGACAGAACTGCCCCCCCTTTCTTTGCAGTTACATCCTTTTGGTCGTGCAGGGGCATGCTCAGGCTCCCCAACACCAGCTCCGGCCCTCTATCCCTCCCATACACACCCGCGGCCCTACCTGGACAAGCATCCAGCATATTCCCTGGCCGGCTACACTCTGGAGCACCTGTATGACCCAGAGAGCCTCCGGGGCTACTGCACCTCCACCAGCACCGGCTCCACCCCCTACGATCACTTCCGCATACCAGCAGAGCAGACCACTGGGCGTAAAGGCACATCTGTCATTATTACTAATGGAAGCTAACACTTTTCTGACACACAGTCTGTTTAGCTTCTCCACAGGAGAGACTCACCTGCATCTGTTTTTCACCGTACCAATGAATTCCCAGAGAAAGTTCATTTGGCTGCTTCTAAAATGTCCGATTTGAAACAGGAAGCTCTTTGTGCCCGTGGCTCTGCTGGGTCTGTCTGTTTGCTGAAGCTTGGACACTTTTCTCTGGTCCAATCAGAATTAGAAAGAACAGAGTTATGATTCAAACTGGGAGCAGTTGATGTGTTTTGTTAGGGTAGTGAGTTTGATTAAACCCACTCGAGTATCACACATATTTACACACGGCCTTATAATCGACTATGGATCGATTTGATGTCCTTTAAATGCAGCGCTTCACTCGGTTCACAAACAAACCGAGTGGGCCTGTGATCTGCGTCTGTTCCCATTTGAAGGCCTTTAAGTCAAAACTAGAACTCGATAGAAAACGGATGGATTCCCTTTTGGTTTAGCATCAGATCCTGTGTCAGTTTCACTCGTCCACATGGCGATGTGTTTCTATCAGAGACAGAACTGATGTTTTTTTTATACACACTGTTGGTGAAGACACATGGCAGGCTTAGGTTGGGTTGGACATGGAGCAAAGAAAGAAGAAACGAGCTTTATTGGTCACAATCACAAAGAGTACAACATGCAGTGAAACGTCAGAGCTGCAGCCGCGCTGTTCGGCATGGGGGGCCTAGCCAGGACCCTTACTGGATACTGGGAGGGAATCAAACTCGTGACGTCGGCTCCAAAGGTTGTGTGGTCTTACCGCTACACTGTGCAGCTGCCATGATGGTTGGTCCTGAAATGAGAGCGATCACCTGAAACAAACTAATATGCAAAGCCATTCTCTGTTTTCTCTCCCTTTGTGTTCACGGTCATGTTGACCTTTGGCGTCTAGTGAGAGCGATACACACTGAATACACCTTTGGAGATATTTGATTGGCTGACACAGGATCATATTTGAATAGCATCACAGTAAAATGAGCGAAGGAGGTTTTGTGCTGCGGTTTAGCAAACTCTAAGTTTGGTCTGAGCGCGTGCACAGAACATATGAAGTTTCATTTCCATGACGTTAATCATGAGTGAGTGCAGGGCGATTGGTGCTCGTGACCATATGCAAAACGTTGGTGTGCCCGGTCAGTTAGCTAAATGGCATCATTCATCATCCCGGAAGCAACTGTTGTTGCAATTATACATATTTGCACAACAAGACTGGAGTTTGGTTATTGCTGATGAACCTATATTTATACCAGTTTGATTTTTTTGTTTAGTCACAGCCTGAAATGTGCTTAATTTCTTAAAGTTATTTATAGTGTACTGTAAATGTGCTCCAACAGAAAAGGCCATCACATTTAAGCACATGGGCAAAAACAGTATTTATTATATAAATGTTTGTTTATGAGTTTGAAATATAGCTGCAATCAGATCCAGTCTAACTGCTTGTATATTCAGTGTGTTTTTGACTGAGCAAAAGATCAAATAAAAATCATTTTGCACACGTGGATTGTTTGTTCTTTGGATATGCTTCTGTAAACGTGGCGTGAAAGGATAGACGGACATTCACGAGCAGCAATGAAGAAATCAGTTTCCTTAAATTCATGCAGTAGTTTCATTTAGTAAGACTGTTTTGTTTGTTCAGGAGATTAATTCAAAGTACAAATATACTTTGTTTGCACACTTTGATGCTGTGAAACAGATTTTACTCGTAATTCATTTCTTCTTTGATGATATTTTAAACAACAAATGAAAACAAGCATTTTGCAGGCAGCATCACAGATCCACTGCTAATGTGATACATGCATGCGAGACATGAATTTCTCAAACTGAAGTGTTGAACACATGTAAGACCCACCTGACCCCACCATGCCAGCTTATTGAATTACAACCAGTTTTCCAATCAGCTTCAGAAAT